TTTTAATAGCTACAGATAGGCAGAGATAAATCCTCAAAATAGTGTTTATTATGTATATGGCCGAATGTTCAGTAGGCTTTTAGGCAACCAGTAAATTCTGATCTCACATTCAAAGTAGTATAGGAAAACAGCTACTGTTTCCAATTCAGAATGTCTAGGACGGGAATACAGGGACTATTTTGATTCCTATCTCCAACCACAGCATATGCACATACCCTACCAACATTATTATTATTATTAATTTTGGGCGACTTTTATAATAACTTATTTCTTGACAATCTACTGGGAATCAAGGTGGATCATAAATCAATTTTATTTTACATTAACTTAAGTTGATCCTCTAAATAATAAAACTTGATTTTACTTTAACCAGTTTTGTATATAAAAAAACCTAGATGGAAAGAAATGTTATCTTTAGCTGAAAAACTGATGTTTTTAAACAACTGAATTACTATTGAACTATGTGAGTTACAATGTATGCATTTTGTGCATGAATTACCTCAACTGAAATTACTATAAAAACAAAAGATTATTACCTGCTGTACTATTCTTTGTTCCAGCACATCAGCTGTCACCTGTATATGAATTGTTCCTGCCACAATACTGGCAGAATGACGCCAAAAATGAGGGTCTCGGTATGATATTAATCCTTCAATTTTCTGTATCTGTCAAATAAAAGGAGAGGTGATATAAATGGATTTAAAGGTTATAACTTACTTAAAACAAAGCAGGTTTTTGGTCCAGGAACCACTACTAAGATAATTTTTAAAAAAGATAACAAGGAGAGCCCAGAAGTGAGAAAGGAATAGAATAGAAGAGTCAACTAGCTTAAGGTCTTAGGTAAGGGTGCCAAAAATATTTTGATTTAGTAATGATGCCAAGGAAGGTAACTGAACAGGAAGTACAGGTGTCTCTGCAACCAACAGTTGCACATCAGTTATCATCTATCTAAGATGTACTCTGCCAACACTGAACAGTGGATATGTTCAATAAACTACATGGTTTTCTTTCTTTTTCTTCCTCCCCTCCCCCCTTCTTTCTTTCTCTTTCTTTCTCTCTCTCTTTCTTTCTTTCTTTTTATTGTGTCTTACTGTTTACTGCTCTTTTCTCTCTTCTTTTTTTTTTTTTTTAAGATTTTATTTATTTATCTTTAGAGGGGAAGGGAAGGAGGGAAGGAGAGAAATATCAGTGTATGGTTGCCTCTCGTGTATGCCCTGCTGGGAACTGGCCTGCAACCCAGGCATGTGGCCTGACTGGAAATCGAACTGCGATCTTTTGGTTTGCAGGCCCACGCTCAATCCACTGAGCTTTCTTTAAACTGATATACACATTTGCAAATTATTTGTTATTACACATTTGAAAGATATCTATGATCAACAATTGAGAGCTGGTTAAATAGAGACTACCCTTGTCATTAAAAATATATTCGAATATTTATCAGCATGACATAATTGAATGAGAAAAATTTAGAAAGCAGTACAAATAGCTATTTTTGTAATTGCCACTCTTATTTTTAACATACTTTTATACAGAAAAATAATTTTTAAAAGTGTTTCTTTCTAGGTAGAAGAATTATATGAGATCCTCCTTTTTTCTACTATATTTTGGTATTTTCTGTAATAAGTATTATTTTGAAATGAAAATGTTTTTTAGTAAGATGTATATTCACTAATTTTGAGATGATGAGAAAAACATGCTTATTTATGAAAATAGTGGGTTAAGGTGCTATACCTTAAATATTCTACATGCTAACTTTTCATCAGCAGATCTAATTGCTTTAATATGATATGGCAAACCACAAGCTGAAAAACATTCTGTTTTTCTAATTCACAGAAAAAACTATGAACTGCCTGTTTATCCAACTGAGTCACATACCTGTCAGGGTTGGAAATATATCTTTATATGGTGTGGTATAGATATATATATAGCTTTTCTTTTCCGCCACGTAGAAATGTTAATTAGGCCAACCCTTTTCCCCCCATTGATCTGAATTGTCATCTTTGGTATATTCTGAGGTTCATAAGTTCCTGGGCCTGTTTCTGATTTTTAAAATCAGAATTAATCTGTGTGTTTATTCTTGCTCAAGAACAAAACCATTATTAGTTCTGTTAATTTTGTAACTTTATAATGACAGGATAGGATCCTTCTAATTAATTAGTTAATTCTGTAAATTTATGCATTTTTTGTTTATTCTCAAGCATTAACTCTTCCAAATAAGCTTCCAAGTAATAGTGGATGATCTATCCTCCCCCAAAACAAAAACGAAGTCCAAATGAGAGATGACTGCACTGTGATTTAAATGAAAGAATATCAGCATCTTCACAATATAGTTTCCCATCCAGGAAAATGTCTTTCTCAATTTATCCAGTCCCTATTTTATGATCTTTAAATAAAACTATTTTCTTCATTTATATCTTGCACATTTCTTGTTAGGTCAACTTAATTTCAAATGCTATTTTAAAAGGGAAAAAACAGTGAGAAGAAATGACACACAGTACCTTTTCTAAGGCAAGATGTAATTCTTTTTCATATTCTGGTGGCAGTCTCAGAAGTAGAACCTGACAGGCATCTTTAATCAATGGAACGACACTGAGAAATATTAATATAGCAATAAAAAGAGAACAGAGAGGATCAGCAATGAACCATCCGAACTGCTCTATGAGAATTGTGGATACGATCACACCAATACTGCCCAGTGTGTCTGCCAAAACATGTAGAAATACACCTAGAAGTAAAATATATAAAGACATTAAAAATTAATTTACATCTAATTTAGTTCTTTTATCCATTCTGTAAATATTACTGGGTACCTACTAGGCACCCATCACTGCTAGGGGCTGGTACTTCAAAATGACTAAAACACTGTCACTACCCTCAAGTAATTCACAGATGAGTGGTAAAAAGGTAAGGATATGGACCAATATACAACAGTGTGGTGGGTTTTATGGTGGTGTGGTTTATACGGGGAAGCTTCCTAGAAATTGTGCATGAGCCAATCCTAACATTACCCAAATACTTATATTAAACACAGGATAAATAATTCAATATAGCGAGTGATAAATATTTCCCCCATTTTTTTTTACAGTACAATAAAAATCTTCTGGTTCTTTTATAATGAAAGTTCATAATAGCATACTCGGTGTTTCCCTTGCAGATAATATTTATGCAACTGTCATATGATGAAAAGGACTCTATAATTACAGCAATTTACATTTATGAATAAACATGAGCATTTTCCACAGCAGATAGATGATTTCATACTACTTTAAAAAAAATTTTGGAAAGATTTTATTTATTTATCTTTAGAGAGGAAGGGAAGGAGAAAAGGAGAGAAACATCAATATATGGTTGCTTCTTGTGAGTCCCCTGCCTGGAACTGGCCTGCAACCCAGGCATGTGCCCTGACTGGAAATCGAACCATGATCATGTAGTTCACAGCCCGCACTCAATCCATTGCGCTATGCCAGGCAGGGTCCCATACTCCTTTTCTTAGCCACAGATTGTTTCTCCAGAATAAAATTATATCAGAAGCCCAATACTTAATACACATAAACAGTGTCAATTCACAACATGGCTGAAAGGTATGCCAATATTTGGCAAGGACTCACCCCTCATGTTAGCATTCATGCCTCCACCTGCAGATCCATGGCTATGATTGTGCCCATGGTCACCGTGTCCATGCATGTGGTGTGCATGGCTGTGATCAGATGAGTGGCAGCTTCCTTGAGAAACTCCATGGGTATGGTTATGGGCATGGCTAAAGGCACAGATACCAATAAGGTTTACTATCAGTCCTCCGACTGAGACTGGCTAGCAAAAGGGAGAAAAGAAAACCTTTAAATTTGTAATTTAAAAAATAAATGTTACTTAAAAGTTAGTGTATAGCTATATATGTCTTTCTGTTTACAGTTTTAAAAGCATTCATAGTAAAACCTCATTAAGTAAATCCATACTTTAAAAAAGTTTAGAATATTTACCAAAAGTTTAGAAAACATACCAAAGTACTGACAAGTAGAAGGATTTGAAATTGTTTTAATTAAATGATTAAGAATATGTACTTGGTTCATGACTTACAAATACATAAATGATGCTTAAGTTTTCTTTTATTAAAAAAAGAGTATGAAAATACTACTTACTAGAGCAAGTATACGTTATACCAGGAATGTTGTTTAATAACATCTTATCATCTCCCTCTAAGAGAGGTAAATTACTAGGTAAATTTCAATAGTTTATAAAGTCATGATTATAATTTACTAACTAGTGGATTCCAAATAAATATAGTCTACTGAATCTTATAGTAAAATTTCCCAAAATAAAAAACAGGTACAATGAAAAAGCAAACATTAATAGTAATCTCTATTTATTTATTTAAAAGATTTTTAAAATTTATTTTTAGAGGTAAAGGGTGGGAGAAAGAGAGGGAGAGAAACATCAATGTGTGATTGCCTCTCACGTGACCCACTGGGGACTTGGCCTGCAACCCAGGCATGTGACCTGACTGGGGACTGAACCAGCGACTGTTTGGTTCACAGGCTGGCACTCAATCCACTGAGCCATACCAGCCAGAGCTCTTAAAAACACACACACACACAAAAAACACCAACAGTGAATGTGTTTAATTAGAGTGAATGTAATTATCTTAATCTGATGATGACACATAATACTCCAAAGGATAAATTAGGTTATTTACCATTGATTATCCTCTTAGAAAATAATTTTGAATTGCTCAGGATGTTATTTAATTTATAGATGTCTATAGTTTTTCCTTCTGAGAAATCCATTTGTTTTATAAAAAGAACATATAGCCTTGACTAGTGTGGTTCATGGGGCTGGATGTATGTTCTGCAAACCAAAAGGCTGCCAGTTCAATTCCTGGTCAGGGCACATCCCTAGGCTGCAGGCCAGGTCCCTGGTTGAGGGCCTGAGAGGCAAGCAATGGCTATTTCTCTCCCCACCCCCCAAATAAGGGGGAGAGATAATTTTAATTATTTTTCTTTTTTCTCTGATGCACCATTCCCAGAAGTACTGCAACACTGGGTTGATATGCAGAGTGGATGGAGCAAGCTCCATCTCCCAGCTCCAAAAATCCATTTAATAATGTCCTCAGATAGAGGACATATCAGATATTAAACTGGTAAGAACAGATACTATACTTGATCTGAGCCAAAAGGCTGAGAAGTGCCTGGCTGGTGTAGCTCAGCGGTTTGATTCCCAGGCAGGGCACATGCCTGGGTTGCAGGCTGGTTCCCTGCAGGCCAGTTCCCAGCAGGGGACTCACTAGAGGCAACCATACATTGATGTTTCTCTCCCTTTCTCCTTCCCCTCTAAAGATAAATAAATAAAATCTAAAAAAAAAAAGGCTGAGAAGTGATTATTTTAATTAATTTTCAAAAGTAGTAAGAGGAGAGATTTACTTTAGTAAACACATATGAAGAAGCTTATTTACATCTTCCTGTGACCCAGACCATTTGTCTATCAGATTTAAAAATTTCGGTTAGCTTTATGAGCTTGAAGAAGGTTAATGAATTTTGAATGAAACCAAATACTGTTTAAAGAGATACTATACTTTTTTTTTTTAAAGATTTTATTTATTTACCTTTAGAGGGGAAGGGAAGGAGAGAGGGAGAGAAACATCAATGTATGGTTGCCTTTCCTGCGTCCCCTGCTGGGAACTGGCCTGCAGGGAACCTGCCTGCAACCCTGGCATGTGCCCTGACTGGGAATTGAACCTCAATTGTCTGGTTCGCAGGCCCGTGCTCAATCCACTGAGCTACACCAGCCAGGGCTGAGATCTTATACTTTATAAATACTTCTCTTCTACTGAGAAATACTTATTTCATTTTTATATAACTTATCATAAAAAACAAAATAATGTAGAAAATGAAAGCGCCCAATAAATTATACTGCCAAAAGTTAGTCACTCCTAAGAGAATGGTACATTTTTCTATGAACATACTAATGTACATATATACACACCTTTTTAAACCAAGAATGGGACTGCATTTTAATATTGTTTTGTAATTTTTTTCACTTAGTACATCTTGTATTTTTCACACCAGTATTTATATGTATACTTCATTCTTTTTAATAGCTGTATAGTATTTTATGAATGAAAAAATTAAAAAACTAGTCCTTTCATTGATGGCCATTGTTCTCCCCATTATAAACAGTGGTATCTTTGCACCTCTACACACTTGTGTGAATATTTCTGTATTAAATATTAAAGGGCAAAGACATGAGCATTTATAATGCACAATAATTTCCAAAATGTAATCCAAAATCATTTTACTAATATATACTCCCACCAACAAGACTCATAACTGCTTTGAGTCATTCACCCATTAATTGCTGAGTTCCTACAAACCAGGTGCTAGCACTTAAAGAGTTAATGATGTACAATTCAGGTCTTGAAGACATTTCACATCTTAATTGTGGAAGAATGACAAATTAAACAAGTTATAACTCAGTGTTGCTGAAGGAGGAATGCACGAGATAGAATGGGAATGTTGAGAAAGAGAAATCTAATGAACTTTGAGGAGAAAAGAGAGAGATAAGGGAAAGTATGCCACCAGAGGAGACATAGAAGCAGTCTTGAGAGGGTTGAATTTTAGAAGTAAGGGAAGGGAAGGCCAAACTACAAGAAACAGCAAATGTAAAGGTAGGTCTGAAGGTATAGGCAGGACATTAAAAGTTGCCATAGCAGTATAATCTATGAAGTAAAGCTTTAAAAATAGTACTTTTCTGATTCTATTTCTAACAAATTTCTTTAAGTATTTAAGAACACACCTTCAAACAAAAACATTTAATAAGTCTGTTTGTGAGACAGATGTAAGAAAGAAATTTGTATGTTTTAGAATGTTATACACATTTTAGAATGTGTATTTTGACTACTAAAATATTAGAGAAAAGGATTAATTCTAAGAGTCAGGAAAAAAAGAAATTACATTCAAATAATTATACCCCATTACCAGTGAAGCCTCTGGGACCTGGAGGGTGGAAGAGGAGAGAAAGGTAATTTGAAGGGGGGTGGGGCCCAGAAGAGTTATCTCAGCAGCCCAGGGGGCGGAGTGAAAAAAGATGGGTCTTCCCTAGGGCAGTAGAGGGTAGAGCAGAAGGATGTTTACCAGGGAATGGTGTGTTTGCTAAGGACCAGCCAGGCTCCCGGAGCCCCATCACAGCCTGAGGGGGGAAAAAATTTCTAAGAGTAGATAACAAGAGAGGGAGTTATGCCAATTTAAATAAAAAGTGAAATAAAACTTTCATAGATGAGTAACTACAAACAGTAATACTTTAGCATGAAAAAAACTGTATGAGTGCACTCAGAAATTCAAATAGAAAAATAAAGACTTACTGTTAGCATGTGTGTGTCTAATTCCGGAGGATCAATTAATCTAGCCACTGACTCCATAAACACAAAAAAGGCTATTACCATTAGGAAAAGTCCATTAATAAATCCAGAGAGAATTTCTATTCGACCATACCTAAAAATGTAGAATATATTTTCAGAAAAGGAAAATGATAACTATTTTAAAAGTGTAACATTATGACTTTGCAAATGAGGAAACAAGTCCAAATTTTCAATACATAAATAGCACGATTAGAAAATTACCAAGATTTTTAACATCATACTAACATGTTCCAAAGTACTTTCTGGGCTTATATCTGTTTGTTGAAAAAATTGTTTTGTTTGTTTGTTGAAATTTTATATATTTATCAGTATATAAGTGTTCCCTCTTCTACACACAGCCTTTCTAATTTCTTAGCAAAAAGTTATTTCTCCATTAAGCCCTTAATGTGCTCTGTATGTCTGTCACAGCACATAGAATCTGCTCTTTACCAGAATCATTTGTATTTTTTGCTCAATGATCTTTCAAATATAAACAGCTGAAAATAAGAACTGAATTTATTAATCTATTTAGAGTAGGTCTTATCAAAATACCTTGGATGAATAGGGGATTCTAATGTTTGTTAAACCGAATTACTCACTTAATAAAAGGGTATTTCACGTACAGCCCCTTCATTTTTGGATACTCTTTCTAACAACAAAGACGTGAATGATCATATACATTCCATTGCAAGAAACAGGTTGAGCAAACAGTTTGATATTTAACTAATTTTTGCTATCTGCCTGTAAGAGAGATTTGTCAGTGAGTAAAATCTTGAGTTTACTGTCAGTCAGTATTTATTCAATATTTAGTCCATTTCTTCTTATCTAGTTCAAATGAAAAAAATAAAACTGAAAAACTATTTGCATTAAGAACAATAAAATTTTATTCTCTAGGATGGAATTTACACTTAAGACTTTCACTGTAGTACCTTACCTTGACAACAGTCAGTGTACCTACCCATATGAGAAAATCCGAGTTGCTTTCCATCTACTCATCAGGGCAGCAAAAAGTCCCATGACTAAAGCAGAGCAGTCAAAGAGCATGTGAAATCCATCTGAGATCAGACCCAGACTATTGGTCAACACTCCATAGAATAATTCCACAAAGGTAAAAAGCTAAAATATGTTAAAAAGGAAAAAATAAGGGAGTATGTTGGGAAATACAGTTTCAAGAGAGACTTACCAGATTTAGTCATGAGGATTTTAACCCAACTAGCCCAAATTATAACCATAATTATACCCAATCCTTACTTGAAGATATAACTGCCTCCTTAGTTATTTAACTGGCCCTTCTACTAAAACTGTATTTCATATAAATTTTAAGAAACCAGGCCATTCAGACACGTCCATCTCATAAACTATTTAACAGGAGAGAGTTAAAATCCCTAGAACTACTATATTTATTGGCTGGAAACACCACATTAAGCCAATGTTTCTAATGCTTCAAAAATTGTTTGCTTAAGCCCTTGCTGGATAGCTCAGTTAGTTAGAGCTTTGTCCTGATATGCCAAGGTTGCTGGTTCAATTCCCAGTCAGGGCACATACAATTATCAAACAATGAATGCATAAATAAGTGAAACAACAAATTGATGTCTGTCTCCCTGTCTCTCTCTCTCTCCCTAACTCTCTCTAAAATCAGTAAAAAAAATTGTTTGCTTAAGTAGTCTGAATATGATCCTGTAATCTTTCTACTACTTAGAGAAAATGTAATTTTAGCCCATTTGTAATTACAAAGAAATTTGGGAATTACTAAAATTATAACAGAATTGTAAAAATTAGAAGATTAAGCTTTTAAGATATGCCACTAATATTTAAACATCTTACCAGATTCAAACACAAGAAGTAAAAGATCTGCCTAGAGTCATTCTCCTCAAGAATTTGTTTTAGTGATTCCTTAATAAACCTAGGGATCGACTGGGAGCTATGCTGAAAAGCATCACCCATGAAGTTATAAAGAGGTGTTCCTTCAGGAGAATATCCAATTAGGGTACCTTTCTGTCCTCTCTTAGAGGGAGATGATAAGATGTTAGCAGCTAAAAGGAGAGAAAAAAAGGAATATTATGAAAGTTTAAAAGTTTAAGCTACTGAAAACCAACACAGTATCTGTCAGCACTGAATGCAAACAGTGAACACATTCCCAAATCAAGTAAATGATGTAAACATCAGAATCCATAAGAAGTTTGCTAAGGAGAAAAACGCTTACACAAAATGAAGAATATAGCGCTCACTACCACTCCTCCAGACAGGACGTGTTCAGTGCTCTCCTGGTGTGCTGCTCTGTTCATAGCCCGCAGCTGGTCTGTTATTGGATGTGTCCAAAAATTTCCAAAAAGTAGAGCACTAATAAAAATGGGGAAGGATCCATAGCGGGCACATTTGGAAACTTCCATTTTGACTGAACAAATGGAATCGACATAGAAATCCAGGATCATGACAAAGAAGATAACCGTAGTGAAAGGCATAATAAGAGAAAACCAAGACTCGACTTTACTCTAAAAATTAAAAAAAAAATTTTTTTTGTCAATATCACATAGGTATAAAGTTCATATCTTTTAAGATGTTTAAGTTAATCCCTTTACCTATAAACAAATATTCTCATGATTCAATACAATTTGTAAAATGCCAAAATATATGAGCTATAAGATATTGGCACATTTCTCCAACATTCCCCAAAATATGAAAAACAAAAGCATGGTTTATTCATTTTATAAATACTATGTGATCCATAATCCTTGTGCCTAACACATAGTAGATAATAAACTGTTTCGACTGATTCCTTTGAGTCATAGGCATAGG